TTGGGTTACTGCACAAGGAGTGTGACTTTTTTGCCATGAACGTTGCTTTAATTAGGAATTTATTTTGTACGTTTAAAACAATAAAATTGTTTCGATCTCATTTTCTTTATTTGTTGGATAAATTCCCATGAAAATATACTCCTGAATGTGATAAATTATAAAGAATATTGTTGTCATGTACGATTACATTCATTCGGAATGTATTTTCAGGTTGAACACACTTTAAGCAGAACAAATAACATTAATTGCAGGTGGCGCTATTCAAAAAGGGGCAAAGTAAGACGCTGTCTGAAAACAGGGGTGCGTTTTGGCGGTCATAACCAATAATTGGTTCGGTGGTTTCTCTTTGGTTAATTGTTTTGGGGATTTGAGTACTACATGATCATGCGTAATTCTAACCCAATTAAAATTGCTGAAGAAATTCACTGACAAGAAACTACTGAACCAATTCTTGGTTATGACTGCCAAAACGCACCCCAGGTGCAGTTCACGTTCGCTCGATTCCACCGCCCTACTGGGAGAGGGCGGTGGGGACGAACGAACAGTACAAGTTAACCTTTTTATTTAGCAAACAACAGGGGGCGTCGTTCAAAGGAGTTAGGACTTGACACCGTCCGATGCAAGGCGCGGCTGTTACTGTTAACCGTTTGCCGACAGTAAGCCTGTTTTCGACCATTTGGCAGACAAGGGTGACACACGGGGTGTCACATAACACCTCTCCCACATCTGGCATCGCCCTTGCCCGTAAAATACCTTTCAACAAGCAAAGATGAAAAGAAACTCTAGCTCAATTTCTCTCCATTAAGCCTCGCAGTAACTGTGACTCTCTTATCATCTTCTTAAAACTCATCACTCAATTATGAACGCATCCGCCTTCAACCTCAGTAAATTTTGCAGGTTAAGGTTGCAGTTTGAAATTCAGCTTCATAAAATGTTTCACTTTTCAGTTTATTTGATTCAGTGTCAACATCACTACTATACTGTACAGCGCAAAAGGTGTGCTGGTGAGTATGTAAACACAGGCAATCGTGGACCTAGGACAAAAGGGTTATACGGGTAGAAACAATACGTCCACGATTGACCGATAGACCACGATTGAAATTCGTGTACAAAATCAAAGAGATCTGAATCCTGTCTCGTCCCAATCCCTTGTATTGACTTGTGTCTCTGTCAATACATCGACGAGGCTTCTCTACTGCGACGTGGTCAGTCCTGAAATTGATGTCCTCGTTGGTGGTAAAGGGTTTGGAGCTAAGTCCTCAGATGAGATCGGCCGCATTGGAGCTAACATGATACTCAAGGGCCACTGGGACTATGACATGCCGAGCGAGATCTTCAGGATCCTAGTCACGTCAAAGTCCATGATTTAACAGTAAACAAAAACAAATGGAAATGTGCCTCGCCAGTCTGGCTGCGTGATATGTACTAAAACTGAGTTTAACATAATTTCACATAATAACTCGGGCTTGAATCTGTATTGAGACCCTGCGGACTTATGTCCTGGACGTGTTCTTCACAAAATGTGCGTTGTCAGATTTAAAATAAGTTGGAGAGGAGGAACACAGCTGGCACTCGTATCAGCAGTGATTACGCAGCAATTGCAATGGCAGCGGAAAGTTTCTGGAACTGGAGGGGCACATACAGTACAAGCGTCTCTTTAGCAGGGTATCCAAACGCGGGTGAGGACAAGTCAAACAAACTTCAAAACATGGGGGAAAGGAACCCTCTCCCACCCCACTTTCGCCACCCATGAGTGTGATTGTTCAGCTATTCTTATTATTGACGCCTTGACGACAATAATGAGCAGGATTGAGGACAAGAAAAGGGTGTCTGAACCCTTCCCCGCCCCCATTGAAGCAAGACCGCTGCCTCCGAGAGATATAGGGGTCAGACAGGTCTATAAGCTGAGGATCGAATAACGGGAATCCAGTACAACTCTCACCCATCCAGTCTCACTCTCGTATCCATCCACCCCGCCTCAATCTCTATGAACTTCCTGGCCTCAACTCACCCTCAATCTCACCCGCCCTAAATCCTAACCTCTCTTCCCATATATTTACGTTGTACTCTAAAACCATCATCCACCCTACCCGCCTGCAACCAACACCAACCCTTTATCCCGCCCCTTACTTCACCCGACCCACCTCGGCCCCATCCACCCTAAATAACCCATCCATCTTCACCCCCCCCCAAAAAAAAGGTCAAACCCACCAACCCTCAATCCAGATCGCACCTGACCTTTAACACCATCCCCAAATTGAATCATACTACTGACCTGTAAGAATAAAACAAATATCAAAACACACCAACTTTGACTTTGTCTGCAATAATCATAATATCTAATAATAAATCTATTAAAAATTTAACATAAGAAGGCCTACTTTTAAGAAATGTGTTCATAATAGGTGAATTTGGGATTGTATCGTTCATGACAACGACAGATTAGTCAAGCATCATGGCCCTTTTACTTTACTTTCCTGTGAATTTGATTAACTTCTTTCAGAAATAGTGAAGGCCCTACTGTGAAAGTGTTTTGAACCATACATTAAGTCCAGCCAAAGGAGTTTCAAAAAGCAGCATGTACTTTTCCACATTATCAAAAGTTCGAATTTCATTTATTATCCTTTTTATGAGTAATTATCTTTGATTGTTAACACATAATTGGTGTTGACAATTACTACAGCTGTTAAACGGAGTGATGTCATCAAATGTACTAGATACCTAACAACACTCTTCTTTGAACCAATTATAACCGTTACAGTAGTGCAACTAACTGCCATTAGAAACAAACGGTTTTTTTATGTCGTAGAATCCCATTTAACAACCAACATATTGTATTTAAATCAAAATAATTATTTGATAAGACTCAAACTGAATAAGTCAATTAACTGCAATTGAAACAAAAAATAGAATAATTAAATTGTCATTAACATGGAAGGGGGAAAATAAGAATTATGAACATGTAAGACTGTTCTGAGTCATGTGGTGCAATTCAATGCAAGTTCCTTTCGAGGATAATCCGCCCGTAACAAAACGCCTCGAGCCATTTTATCCGGAAGCATACATTTTCAATTAATAGACGTTTGATTGAGATACCTTTTCCGGGAATCAATTTTGTGTCGTCGTCTAAGCAGCCGTGTGGATGCAAAGGCCTAAGAGTCGCCGTCGTTAAACAAAGTTAATCCGATTACGTACTTGGACGCTATAACAGAGTAGTGAAATTCATGCATGGAAAAACATGGTCTTTTAAACGTTGTCTTTCTCAGAAAATATGCTCACTTGTTAAATTTGAACAGAAGAAAAATTTGTTAACTTCATGTCAGTGAACAAACATCGCCGAAACTATGTATTTACCTCAATTTCTAGGAAATCGCCTCAAGTAGTTATTTCAAGAGCAGTTGAACACGTATATCATCTAAATATACTCCGAATTTCAGCTTAATCTGTTGTTGCAAACGTTTGGGTTACACCTTGAACTATCTTCAAGGTAGATTTCGACGAGGATTTTGTTGACGACCAAATTAACTCAAGTGCGTGGTTTCCAGGTTGGCTGATTTTGAAGAAACAATGACAACCCGCATATAAGCATATTCATTTGACATTAGCGTCACTCGGCGTTACTTCGCGTGTGTTTCGGTATCGACCAATGAAAGCCGGAAAAAACAGTGATATTTATGAATTAATAACTCGCGAAGGAGGCTATTCTGCAAATTTCTACTGCACACTGCAATGGATAGGAACCTTGTTAAAGATTGACAGATATTGCAAACACCAGTGTTACAATTTTTAAAAATGGAGGTAGCCAGGCCTATATTTCCAATTTCAACGAAAAGTACTAAACATATCAAAACGAATTTTAGCACACAGTTGGATCATTATAAGGGAAACAAACCCTGATAGTTGCATGAAGATACGGTCCTCCAAACGGAAGAAATTAATTTTCAAAGATTTCGCCCGCAAATGGAACATATGTCTGTGTGCATGTTTGTTTCATTCAAAATATGGTATAACGTAACCTTTAGAAATCGGCCTTCGCAAATGCAAGGCAATAAGGACATGCTTCCGAGGACAAACGCCGGCATTGTGAGCATGGGTGGATCCAGAGGGCATGATCCGATAACAAAACTTAGAAGCCGGAACATATAAGCATGGGCGTCGCCAGGGTGGGCAAAGCAAATTTTTCCCCAAAATGTCTCAACTTTTTCACTATATTCTCAACTTATCATTTTTCCGAGCGTGAGCCGGGGAGCATTTGCCCTTAACCTCCTCCCCAATCAAATTAACAGCAATATGGCTTCGTGCCTCTTTTTTTTCTTCCTTGTTTTCCAGTTTTCCGGGGGGGGGGGGAGAGGGGGCGTAAAGCCCCCTTGCCCCCCCCCCGCGACGCCTATGCATATACGATAACGTATGCAATCCGCACCGATCCGCACCGATCCGCTACAATCTGTTCACTCTCGGCGCATCTTCATTTGAACCGAAATGATTATATACTCATGCAGGTAATGTTTACCAACTGTACTCCCGATGCAGCGTAGTATTAACAAGTCCTGTTTATTACGTCACGATTTACTTTGTTTTGTTTGCTGCCTCCAACGACAACTTTTACACAAATTGCACGTTCGGGTCGAAACAGGACCTGAAAAACAGCTCTCAAAAGTACCTTCTGTACTCATTTCATGACAGACACAATAGTCGTTTTTATTTCATCACACCTTAGGCTACACATACCCGAAAATGACGGAAATGTCTTCGAGCATTCCACAACCTTTTTAACAAAATTAACATTTACAGTTAATGTCGTGTTTGCCTTATTCACATCAAAATGACGAAGAATACGACACACGATGACTAATGTAATAAAAATATCGAAATATGTTTTTTTTTTTTTTTTTACTCCTTAACGCTTTATTTGTTTCGGGAAAACGAATGAGTGATGGCGTAAGTGATTCATCGCCAAAGCGTTTGATAACGTATACTTATTAAGGGAAATATAATTTGTATTATTCGGCGTAAAGGAGGAAGCCACTAAATGAGGTGTATCCACGGGAACTACTACCCGCCTTACCGACCATGCTTAGATACACCGTGTCCCCTATCTGTAGAACCAGCACTGCGCTCCCCGACACCTGCTCTTGACTACCTGAATCACCGCTATAGCCAGTGACAACCACGTCGTTGTTTTTCTGTAGGCAAACGGTAAGGGTAGTGCTTGAAGTGTATTGGAGCACAGAAAACGTAAACACATAGGTGCCCGGCACTCTACAGGTAAATGTACCGGTCTCTAGGCCAAAGCTGGTACCCGGTAGAAGCGTCTTGGTCTCATCGAAGGGCAAATTGGAGTCGTAATTCGTAAAGGTATCCGAAGGGCCCGTCCTCCTTACTGTGAATGCCACCCGCTGGTTGGAGTTGTCTGGTGTCTCCCCTGGCTCACCCTTTTGACCTTTGACACCAGTTTCCCCGGTTGTTCCAACTAAACCCGTTAGACCTCTAGGACCTATCTTGCCAGGTAGGCCAATTAGATCATCACCTTTAGACCCAGGGTTCCCAGGTGCTCCCCGCTCACCCATAGGTCCAATCGGGCCAATCTCACCTTTTTGACCTGCATCGCCCTTTGACCCCTGCTGACCGTACGGCCCCATCGGTCCTGCTGGGCCAGGCAGACCTGGTATGCCGGGTATTGCGGCAGGTCCCTGACAGCACTGCTGACACGCCTGCGACGCAGGACCATCACCGTCCGAGGGAACCGGCCCTGTAACGGAAGCTTGGAGCTTGACAGAGTTACCCAGAAGGAGGGCGATTGACAGAATGGTGGCCACACAGATCTTCATCTGTAAAGAGAACAATACATTTGAAATACAAAAAACTATGGAAAACAGTACGGGAAGATGAGATAAAACATATTTGGGTCAGTAAAACTGGGGATCAGAGTTAGACTTTTGAAACTTAACAGAAATCCCAAAGTGAGTCATTTGACTCTTTTTCGTGAAAACTTGCTTGCCTCCCTTGTGCTTGTCCTGTGCAACCTACGGCAACCAACGCAATTATAGGCAAAATCGGCGACCCCGAGCAATGTTTGGGCAACCATTAAGCCTCCTCTGTGCCTCCTCTGTGTCATTATCGGTGACCATCGGCAACTAACGGCGATCACTGGTCGATCATTCAGCCATGCTTCTGCCTCCTAGGCGACCCTTGAGGCACTAGAATGGCAGAAGCATCGTCCAGATTGACGGTAAAATTTGCAACAGAACGGATCTATTACGTGGCGACCATTGGCCGACCATTGTGCATCCATTCTGCAATCACGGCAATGCTCGTGCCTCCCTTCTGCCTCATTTGAGCCACCTTTGAGCAACCAACCTCCTCGGCGACCTTTGTGCGACTGTGTTGAACATGATCACAAATTTACGGCGACCATGGCGTCCATGGCGATGTCTGAACATCCCGTGTACAACCTTTGAGCGACCTAGGCAACCATTCGGCCTCCTTTGAACCTTCAACGGCGACCTGGCCAGTTTTATTGTCGCACAAGGGAGGCCTAAATGTTGCAGCCCTACGTGTAAATGGGGTCTAACACTCATTCAAATGGGCCATTGTAGACCGTAAACTTGACAAACGGATTTTGCCGTGTAACTAACGAGACAGTAGTAGCTGCTCTATTTTCTCGTCCACAAAACTGACAGCAACGTAAGGCTAGCGAACGAAAAAAAAGGGCTTCCGAAAATTCGCAGTTTTCTTGCCAAAGCACAACCGATCCATACAAACTATCAGCTGTTTTAGGTAGTTAAAGACCTAATACTAGGGGTTGGTAGTGGCCCATACTGTTTTAGCTGCCCCCCTCAAAATATGTAGTGACCCATGGGAATCAATGGAAAAATACTTTAAACGTTATTTGAGACCATCCCCCCCCCCGTACATGGCCCTCAAAGTGTCATTTTTAAAATATGGTATGGTACCCCGACTTATTGTGCACAAAGTGTATGTAACTATTTGTGGCTCAAGACTATTTTCTCCCACACTAGTCTAGCCTAGAAATAAGTTAGAAAAATAGAGGAAATAAAGTTTAATGATAAGTATATTCTTTTGTTTCACATCTTAAGTGTTTTTGATGTATGTCATAACAACTTATCCTAGAGTTCATCCTGTGCAGAATTCCACTGCACATTACTTCTGGTATTGTAAATTTGTTACACCAGAGTATTCTCGGAAGGAACCTTGCTATCTTCACTAGATAAAATCAACAGTTACTACATGTAGCTTTGACCATGTTGACTTGGGCTGATGAAGCACTAAATATAATGTATACCAATGTTTACCTACCTCAGCTCATATTAATTGCAAAACAAATTAAATACAAAACAAGTTTACTGCAAGACAAATTTCAAAATTTGGCAAAGTGGAGGTCACAAATTGTAAACTTAACAATCATGACGTTGCAACTTAATTACCCTGTACCGAGTGGTGATATCAAAATAAAAAGGCGTTGTTCACGTTATTATTGATACTATAGCTCCAGACAAACAAAGAAAAGGTCCATCAGTATACAACTTACAAGTTTCAAATTAGGAAGGCAGTCCTATATGCTCAGGGAAAGTGAAACAAAAAATCAATGGACCAACTTTTCATCACAATCATGATGCATGAAATGGCCAGTAAAAGGTAACTTAACTTAACGGTAGCATGTTTGAGTAATAATTGAACTGCAAAATCTATTGCTTTTAATGACTTAAACCGCCAACTATGTCCACAAACTATGAACAGCTGATCTCCTGTGTGGCGCAAATAGTTTTTAAGATTTATAGTCTGGTACCTTACAAATTGCCTTTCTTAAGTACATTGTAAGTCATCAAGAGTGTTGTTATTGTAAAGTTGCTTGATAAGCCTGTTACAAACAATTCTTTCAAGGGTTTTACTCACGACAGACGTAAGCGAGATAGGCCTGTAATTACTGGGATCACCCCGTTTTCCTTTTTTGAACACGGGAACCACATAAGCCCTTCGCCATTCATCGGGTACAATGCCCGTTTCAAATTTAGCGAGCGAAGGTGCAAGGAACTCTGCTCCCTCCTTAAGAATTCTGTGGGAGATGTTGTCAGGGAGATGTTGTAAGGACCTTGACTTTTACTGACATCAATGCCTTTGAGTAATTTACAAACTTCATACGAGGTGCACTTGATATTCTCCATCTTGTCAACACTTGGCTCAGGATCACAAATAATTATTAAATAACATTCACTCACCTTGAAGTAAACGTTCTGGAATTCTATCATGACAGGAATCCTCGACAGTCGAGCAGATTGCTGGCTGCAAATAAAACCAAAAAAAAATGAGTCATTAAAATCCGATCGGAGATAACTTGGGGGCTGGTAGGGGAGGCATAGCTGAGTTTTTCACGTAAACACCGCAAAAAATATCTCTAACATTAGGCCAAAAAAAATAAAAAAAATCGGTCTCTGGTCAGCGCGCGCATGGATTTTAATTATGCGCGTTAATCTTTTTTCTTCCAAAATGTTCCTCCGTAGCTCCAACAGCGCCCTCTATTTCTGCACTTCCTCAATTGTTTTTTACCAAAGAGCACCACGGAATGGGAAACTGCACCAGGCAAATGATCGAGAGCACCATGGCAAATTTTGGAGGACACCAATGTATACATGAGGACACCAAAAAAAGCAAAATAGTACCCCACCTTGTCTGTACAATCCAAGCTTGAAAAAAAAAAAAGCCGCGTCGCCGCGTCAATTCCGGAATTTTGGTCTAACCAGAGACCGAATATTTTTTTTTTTGCCTTAAGGATTGATTTCTTTTTATATATTTCAAGCGAAATGTGTTTTCCAAAGGCTCTGACTGGACTCAATCATATCTTTGTTTTAATAATTACTAGTTTGGAATTTCATCACTAAATCAGATTTTCTTTAAACAAAATTATGTCAGCATTCAGCAAAAATAAAATCACGTGAAATCATTTGCAATGCTTGGACAAGTACCTACAGAAACTTTGCAATGTCGAAAGTGAAGATAAGACTGGTTTCAAATTCTTTTTGAAATCGTTCGGATAACCTTAGCATAGATTTTTTTTTTATGGTATGCCGGCGGGAACACTCTTGTACGAACGTTAACGGACGGAATTCCATTACGAGAATCAATATTTTGCGCATACATTTTCCTCAAAATGTACACAACTTCTTTCTGAGCTGAAACTTCAACAGGTTTCTCAAAATGTACGTATCTACTGAGCTGAAACTTCCACAGGTTTAATAAAATATTACAGGTGACAATATTACAGGTGGCATTCAAGTTAACAGTTCGTTACAAAAATAACTATTCAACAGGGTGGGAAATTAGAACACCGGATTGGCTATTAGCATCAGCCACCATTTGTTTCTCAACAAAGTATGTCCTTGAAAAAAATTCATATTTACTGCACAATAATTTAGTCTTCTTTTACATGCATTTAGCCATTTTTTTCGAGTTCCCTAAATGTATTTCATTACTTGTTAACTGTTGAATGGGATGGCGCCAGACTGTTTATGCAGGCATAATGCAGCCTTACTTTACTGTCAGTTTTTTTTTTTTAATCTGGCTTAACACATTAAGGAACATTAAATTACAAGTTTGAAATTATTCACTGAAGCATGATCGACTTAATTAGTAATTAATTTCATTTTATTTCTATAAACAAGTTCCAGAAATCAAGATTTCACATGACTTTCATTCCAATGTGGCCGACTCGTGAATAAGGCCCATACCACTATCGGTGTTTCAAAAACTCAACAGAATCTTAATAGTGGCATGTTGAGTGGAGCCTTTTACATGCAAACATCACTAAATTCATCCCAGATCTTGTGTTTCGAATTTTTAAGGCTGAGAGCAGAGAATGCAGAAGGGCCGCATAATGTTTACACATTTATATCAACTCTACACATGATCAGAAATGAAGTAGAATAAAACTGTTTACATGATCATCCGGTCCGTTCATATTTGCGCCTTCTAATAGTGAAACCATAGAGCGTTTGTTTCCGACTAGCCACACTGTTGTTAACAATGTTTGAAGGTAACTTAAAAATCATGTACACAAAATGGTGCGGATCGAATATAGGCCCGCTTGTTTGGCTGTTAACATTCGTGTATCAGTAGTCACGCAATATCAGTTTCAATAATTGAAGTTTTGTTCAGAAAGGGGAAATTTCAAGACGACCACCGCGCTCAGCAATAATCATAAAAATAGTCCCACGCTAATTGAAACATCACTATGTGCAAAAAAGGCAACTTTTTTTGTTTCTGAAAAAAAGAAAAGAAAACAAAAAATAACAATTAATTCTTTCAAACACTCACCAAGCAAATGTCGTTCTTGTAATCAGTTCTCTAGTGTTGTCTTGTACGTGAGGATGAAGAAGAGCTGCGTCGTTGTGAGGAGTGAAGATATTGCTCGTGGCTTAAATATTGCCTTAGATTGCCCTAGCAGTGACTGGCCCGGTTTGTGATTGGTCCCTGCTCGCCGTCACTCAGACATCACCGACTCGCTTCATATTAATAAGAAGGAAGTGATGTCAATGTGGTAGATGTTGTACAGTCATAATCAAAACCAGTGTGTCGCCGCACTGAAATAGCCGTATTTTATTGGTGGATATGGATAACGGTGACACGTACATCAAAAACACACGATTTGTGATTGACACATACAACCTGTCAATCACAAACGACCCACTGGTGATCACCGACTTGTTGGGTGACTTACTCTGATTGGTGGATAGAAAATTGACCTACACTGGCTGTGATTCATTAAATGTGCAGTTGGCACTTCAGTCCATTGAATTGTTTCGATTTATTTAGG